AGATTTAGAAGGGGTACCCTTTATAATTTTATTTTCGAATTTAAAATACAAAACAGGAACAGGAACTTTTTCGCACTTTTATCCACTTAGGAAAAAAGTGAGCTTCGAAAACAGTCACCACCTCGGAGAGGATAGAACTAAATGTTGATTGTGCCATACAAACATCAGAATTCTTTCCAACGCCAATTTATATCCACCTTCAGCAAAAAAAGTATCGTGGCACTCAAAAAAAAGTAACGTGGCACAAAAAAGTTTTATAGAAGATGGTTCTATTCACAGTTTTTTTTAATGCATAAAATCCATTTTCCTAGAAGATTTACAAGGGGTACCCTTTATAATTTTATTTTCGAAAACTGCAATGTGCCCCATAAATGAATTTTTTCTTAATACAAGTTTTAGAGAGAGAGAGGAAATGGAGAAGAAGAGGGATCCTCCACAATTTTCTTAGAAATTACAGAAGGGAGACTTTTTGAAACTATCAGCCCAATCGTAAAAAATAATTCCGTGCGGAATTTTCTTATTCTCCCTTTTTCCCAATAGTAAAGAAAATTCCGCGCGGAATTAAAAGGAGAAAGGAGAAAAAGTAGCCATCATAAGAAAGTTCGATTTGTGTTTTTTTTCTCTTAAAATATCTCACAAACAAAATCGAAGGGAGATAAAAATGTAAGTATGATTTTCAAATATAAATCGAAATAGAAATAAATAAATTAATTTTTTTAGGTCGAATACAAATAAAACCCAACTGCAGCATTTAGTGTCAGTTTTGGAATTACATCCTGACATTTCGCGTGGAATCTATAAAGGGAGCAAAGAGTTTCTTACTCGGTTTTGGAAAAAAAGGAAAATGAGCTCAATTCGATGGGACCACCAAATAAGGGCATTACCGAATGGAAAAACGTTTAGTACTAAATTTATCACATTCATTTGAATAAAATAATCCATTCATTCTTCAAATTTACTTTAAATAGTTTTGGGCTGACCAAAAAATATGTAAGGCAAAAAGCTGCACAGAATTTAAACAACAAAACAGGAACAGGAACTTTTTCGCACTTTTGTCCACTTAGGACAAAGGTGAGCTTCGAAAACAGTCACCACCTCGGAGAGGATAGAACTAAATGTTGATTGTGCCATACAAACTCAGAATTCTTTCCAACGCCAATTTATATTCACCTTCCGCAAAAAAAGTAACGCGGCACTCAACTTGGTAATCGTTGGAATTCCAGACTTGTTTTTCCTTGTAGGAGTATGTTGCGACAAAACTTCCATCAAGTATTGGAACTATTCCTAGAAAGGAACGATCGGAACTAGTTCCAGCTCTTCCTTTTTCTGATCTCGTTCATTTTTTTTTCCTTTATTTCTCGTTCTTTTTTTTCTGATATCGTTCCTTTATTCCCATATTCTTCATTCGTTCGTATTTCGAATTGTGTAATAGTTAATTTTTTTTGTTTTAAATATTTTTATTTACTTATAAACAAAAGTATATGGAGAAAAGTAACTATTTGGAGCAATGGAACTATATGGATCAAAGGAGCTATAAAGAGCAAAAGGAACTATATGGATCAAAGGAACTATAACGAGCAAAGGGAACTATATAAGGCAAAAAAAAAACGAAAAAAAGATGAAATAGATTCAAAGAACTATGTAGGAGTCGGAACTATATGGAGCAAAGGATCTATAAAGAGCAAAGGAACTATAAAGAGCAGAGGAATTATAAAGAGCAAAGGAACTGTATGGAGTAAAGGAACTGTATGGAGTAAAGGAACTATGTGGAACAAAGAGCAAAGGAACTATATATGGAAAAAATGAAAAAAATAGAACGATGAAAGAGAGAGATGCAAAGGAACTATGTTGGAGTCGGAACTATATGGAGCAAAGGAAGTGTATGGAGTAAAGGAACTATATGGAGCAAAGGAACTATATTAAGGAACTAGTTCCTTTTTAAAAACGGAAGAAGAAAGATCGATTCGCTAAGTGAACTAGATTGTTTCAATTATTTTTAACTTTTATGCATTTACAATGATTGTGACAATTCAAGAGGATTGGAACTATCTTGCAATTGTCTTCTTGACAATCTTGTAGAGTTTTATCAATAAAAAGATAGAGCGCCTTCAGAATGAGATGATCAGTAGATCGTTGGGAGTTACGACCACTTCACCGATTCATGTGAGGTATGCCCTAGCTGGAGAGCTACCCCCCAAATATCGAGCTAAGGTTCTGACAGCCAAAGAGATTATTAGAAATGTGTACGACAATGAAAGATTATATGAGATAGTAGCGGATAATCCAAAGGTTAAATCCAGTTATAGTGCAATATTTTACGAGTTTGACGACATCTTCCAAAAGATCAGAATAGGGACATGTGAATATCAAGACAAATTGACGATCAGAACAAATCTTCTACCCTGTACGAAGCAGAATGCTCCTGTTGATGTAATATATGCCATATACAAATGTGAGATGGTATATTATAGAAGTAATGGCTTCACCATTTTTGCCACTGATGCTTCGGTTGGACGTGAGACCTTGCGGCCTGTAAGGCTCTAGGCTCTGACAATTTTCTGGTTGCTGAATGTCACAATTTATTGAGGAGAGCAAATGTGTACAGATGTCATGTGGTTTGGACTCCGAGTCATAAAGGCACACTTTTTAATGAAGTTGTGGACTTTTTGGCAAAGCAAGCGGTGGATGCAGGTGCACCAATTGTGGCATTTCTGTCCCCGAAGGAGGCGATAAAGCAAATAGAAAAGAGAGTAAAGGACATGTGGAATGAAGAGTTTAAAATAATTTCCTTGACAAAAGGCAGATTCTTTTTCCAACTCTGCCCTGATGTGTATAGCAAACCATGGTATTGCAAAATCAAGTTAAGCCCGGAGGAAACAATATTAGTTAACAGACTCATGACAGGACACTCGTACTGCAAAGTCGATCTACATCGCATAGGTGCCAGTGATTCCTGGCAATGCGATATATGCGGTGTTCCTGAAGACGTGGAGCACAGCATTTTTACTTGCCCTAGACATAATCAATTAAAAACCACTTATCCCAACCTTTTTCCCATCACAACAACCTTATGACAATCCTGAAATCCACTGAGGAAGAGCTATTCAAGTTATTAATTCGCTTCATCAAAGAGGCGAAAATTCATCTGTGATCCTGATCCCTATCCCATTCCAACCTGTGATACAATCTGTGATATTAGTTTAAGTTTTTAACCTTTTTGGATCAGTAACTAATTTTTGACGTTTTTTCCCACTCCCCCTTTTTGTCCCCTTTTTCTATTTATTTCCTATCTTCAGCAGCCTTGAAAGCGCCTAGAGGACTTGGAGATTCTACCCTGTGTGACCTGGAAGCTTGTTTAGTTCCGGAAACCCTTTGGCTGCGGTTAGCAGTTTTCGTCACTACATACACCTTATGCACTTGGACATCTCTCAACCGGGAGGTCGTAAGTCGGTTTAAGTCGATATATCTAAATTACATGATTGCTCTGTTTCAAGCATTTATATTATTAACGTACCGTGTATTATCGTTCTTGTTTGTTTTTTTCATCAGCTGTTTGTGGCAGCTTTCGTTGTGATTCTACAGTTGGACTGTGGACTACTATTAAACTTGTCTTTTGTACATGGTGTACGATCGTTTTTGGATAATACATTTTTGGAAGAAAACCTGGTTCCTGCGGCCTTAAGGAACTGAGGACCGCCTTCAAACACACACACACACACACACAATCTTGTAGAGGTTCTTTGTTGCTCTCTGGAAGTAGCAACATCCTCTAAATAAGTATAATACTATTCATTTTTTTTTTTGGTTTCAATTCTCTATTTCTTTTTAATTATTTTGTACAACACAAACACTTTAAATTTGCACAAACAAATAAGGGTACACAAAGTATGAAAAAGACCCACAGTTGATTAAAAAGAGATGCCATATTTCAAAAATGTTACTCCTATATTTTCTACGATTGGAGGATTTTTCTCTCGAGAGAAATGCTTTCCGTAGGAATAGAATTTCTCCCACATTTTGGTGATTGGGCTGTATATGTACATTTTTATTACCATGAAAGAAATAACAATTTAGTTTATTATTTTTAATATTTATTTTTTATTTACATTTTCTCAGTTTTTCATTCATTTTTTTATATTTTCTTTCAATATAAGTATTCAATTTTTTCTCCTTGTTTTTTTATTTATAAATAATTTAAACATTTTCGTTTTATTTTTTTGTTTCTTCTATTTAATTAAAAAGTAATTTAACAAAAAAATTAAAATTGGAGATAAATGTCTATAAACTACTTAAAAAAATAATTACTACAAAAAATAATAATTAAAATTTTTTTATAATTATAGAATTAAATTTTGCACGTTTTTGATTTTTGTTGTTGTTTGTAATTATAATTTTATAATATTTGTTGTATAGATCTTATTAATCATTATTAATATTTACAATTTTTGTTTTCTATTACAAGTTATTGGTTTTCTTATAAAATGTTGCATACATAACCTCAAAATGTGCTATTACAAATATTTTATGTATGATTTTTTTTTAAATTTGCAGTAATGGATATGGATGTGGACTTAGTGCGGAATAACTATTTCTAATACAATTTGTCTACTATTTTTATGTTTTTTGTATTTAGAAAGAGATTCGTTGAGCTGATGCTGCCTGGGAGGAATGAGAAAGTTGTTAGCCGAATTTTTGAGGTTAGAATTTATTTAATTTTTAAAGCAGAGCCATTTTTTTGAATTAATATTTATAATTATGAAAAACTATAACAACTTCCTCTTTATCTTTTTTAATAGTTTTGTTTTTGTTTGATATTATTTTTCACTGTTATAAAACTGTTATACACCTGATCTACTATTCAATTTAGCCGTGGGGAAATATTCTACAAAAAAATATCCAAAAAGAAGGTCAGAATTTTTTTCAAAAATAAAAACTTTGTTGCTGTTGATCTCTGTATGCCAGGGATGAAACGCTCGGAGTATCCGCCGTAGCTGTCCCACTCCCCACTGTCTCTCCAGCCACCTGACCATCCGCCTGCACTTCACCTGCCACTTTGGATGTCGTCGCCGCCGCCGTTAACCATTCGCTATTGCCCGTACAAATGGCATCTAACTAAAATCATAAATGTTGATATTCGCTCATATCGTAAATGGGCATGGAGCTCATGACATTGTGTAGGTGGGAGTAGGCAACGGCCGCTGGCAGTGGTGCCATTTGGCTGGCAACATTCCCTGAACCTTTGACGGATGCGGCAGCAGCAACGGCGGCGGCCGATAATGCTGGACCACCTATCAATTGGGCACTAAGCGCATGATCCGCGGCAGCCGTAAGATGTGATGTGGCCAGGCTATGTGATTGTTGTTGTTGCTGGTGGTGTTGCTGCTGCTGTTGCTGATGATGATGGTGGGTGTGATGATTACTAAGCGTTTGATGCGGATTGGGTGATAATTGTTGTGCTGAGTGTTGTTGTTGCTGCTGCTGTTGTTGTTGTTGCTGGTGATGATGCGAATGCTGGTGATGTTGTGTTGTGGTGTGATGATTGCTACTACTATTGTTATTCGGATTGCTGTTGGCAGAACTGGGGCCACCGCCGCCATGACTTTGTTGCATGAGAGCACCTTCCATTTCTGAATCACTTGATGAGTCCAAATGCTGTTTATCGGAGTTGCCACTGTAAAGAAAAAAAAAAACGGGAAAGGGTAATTAGTATTTTATTCACTTTGTGGGAGAGACAAAATATAAAAAATAATTTCTAAAGGAAATATGGTACAGAAATCCGTAATTGGACATCTGGACATTCGTCAGATTCTTAATCAATTGCCTGAATTGTCCATGAACCTTTGGAACCTCTGAAGAAAGTCTGGGCCTTGGGATGAACTTCTTTAAAGAAACTCTGGATTTTTCCCAAGGAAATTATGGAGTTTTGAATGACTCTTGAATAAATATCGGTTTCCCAGTGTCTCTTAAGGCTGTTTTAGGAAAATGGCGACCAACATATGTACACCTATTAAAGAAAAATCTACATTCAAGGAAAATCACATTCTCGTGAGAAAATGTCAGATTTTCTAAGGAACTTCTCTCGACTAAAAATAAATCTCACCTTAAAAAACGGAAGTTTGAGGAACAATGGCGCCCAATATTTAAAAAAACGGAAGGACAATTTCCGAGTCTATTAAAGAAATATCATATACTAAGAAAAACCTCAGGTTTTCTTAAGAATTTCTAAGCTAATTTGGTTTTTTATAAAACGGCGCCAACGTATGCCATGCCTTCAATGAAAAATCTCAGAATATCTCAAGAGTTTCTCAGGTCAAACGTAGGCCCTCACCATTGGCGCCCAAAATATATAAAAAACGGAAGGAAAATTTCGGAGTCTATTAAAGAAATATAATTTTCAAAGGGATCTTCAGGTTCCTATGAAAATCTTAGATTTTTATTAGAATTTTGTAGACTAATGTCAAAAAGCGAAGTTTGATAAAAATGGCGTCCAACATATGAAATAAAGAAGGAAGAAACCCACGTATACTTGAAGGGGAACTTCCTAAGACCATTGCCGGAGTTCCAATGGAAGCAATAAGAAATTGAGTTTTTGTTGAGACTGTGCTGTTATCAATGTGTTATAAATAATGGCGCCCAATATAAAAAATGGAAAGAAAATGTCGAGTTCTTCTCAAAAACTTTCAGATTTTTATAATAATCGCCCAGACCAGTGTTAAAAAGCGAAGTTTGATAAAAATGGCGCCCAAATGAAAGGGTCTTTTAAATAAAATCTCAGTTTCAAAGAACCCATGAAGACATCAACAAATAGAACCGTGGTTTCAAGGAGAAAATTAAATACTTTGAAATTTCGAAAGATTATTTGTAGGAGTTCCAAATGAATTTTATAAATTTTCTAATGCCATTCCGCGTATTCCAAAGGGAGTATTAAATGTGTTTCTTATAGAAACTGTAGACCAGTGTCAAAAAATGGCGCCCAACATATAAAAAATTAAGGAAAAATTTCCGATTTCTTTAGGCACAAAATATCCTAAGATTTTTGTAGGGGATTCAAAGGAAGTCATAGAGAAATTAGTATTTCAGGGAAAGCCTTGATAATAGAAATGGAGCCCAACATATGAAATAAAGAAAATCGAAGTCTCAAGGAACCCAAGTAGACTTCAATGAAAAAATTTCCGATTTTTTATTAAGGCTTTTGGGTCATATTCAAAGCGCCTCAGATTTTCACCAAGATTTTTTTCGTACTTCTCAAGACAGTAGCAGAAACGTTGATGTTTCCCGCGGGAAGCAAAGGGGCTCCGAATTCAGAGTTTTTTTAAGGATGCAGAGATGTTTCTAAAAAATTCAATTTCATTTCTAAAGTGATCTGTAGAGTTCAATATGAATTGCGTTAATTGTCCAAGGGACTCATGGAAATACTCAAGGTTCGTAGTTTCCAAGGAAGACTTGGCGTCTTTTCCAAGATCTTTTTAAATGTGGCGAGTTTTCTTGAAACCTGTGGAATATTGTAGGAAACCTTGGCTTTTCCTGCGACCCAAAGGAAGCAATGCGATTTTTTATGGGATTCCGTTATTTCCTATGAAATCCATTGCCATTTCTCGAGGGATCCGCAAGTTTTCCTTTGAATCGCATGAATTTACCAAGGAACACATATATATAATTCGGAAAACTGTCTAGTGAATTTGATAAGTTTCGTAGGAGAACTTAGAAATTTCTTGAGTAGAGTGTTGAATGGAGCAATCTTGATTTTTCCTATAATGCAATGGGGTTCGGAGTTTTTTTTAGAGAAGCATCGATGTTTCATAGGAAATCCATTGAAATTTCGAAAGTTATCTGGGAAGTTTACTTCAAATCACGGCAATTTACCAAGGAACTCATTGAGTTTAATAAAACACTCCGAAAATACTCGAAGCTACATAAAAACTTCCTAGAGAAATCGACAAGTTTCTTAAGAAGCAGGAAACGTTTCCCAGGAAAACTTGGTGTTTGATTTTCGATTTAAAAAGAAATTTCATTAGAAATTGGTAATTATTCCTAAGAGCTTTGAGGTTTTCCTTAAAGAACATGAACATATTTTAATATTTCCTTAAAGGTCCCTCAGGATCACAAAGGAACACAAATTTTACAATAATTGATAGCTACATCTTCCAACAGGTCTTGACACTAATTGACAATTGCTATTCAATTTGTTATGGTATCAACTTTTCAGCTCATAATTTAGATACAAATTGTTACTAGTTCAAATGTCAGAGCAAACAAAATCCTCTCATTCCTGCCTCCGCCGAGCACTTAAAATGTAATACAATTAAACTCACATATCTATTTTTAACAAATTACAAATGACATTTAAATTTAGCTGTGACCAATATCCAGCAATCTTGTCGAAGTCAACTTCAATCTTCAACGCATCTCCAAATGCCTAACATCTGTGATGAATTAATAACAACAATTCAAAAAATTATTTGTGTCACATACAATACATCCGATGCCAGTAGTCGTGAACTATGAAAGGGAGTTTGTACACGATGGCGCCCAACACAACACCATACTACAGAAAAACGGAAGGAAATAAATGATAATACCATTTAAGGTTTCAAATTTACCATAATATGATCTGAATATCTTTAACGTCTCGCTACCTCTCTAGGGACTATTGCCTTGTGTGTGTGTGTGGAGGAAAGTGAAGAGTCACTTACCGTCACTGTTTTTTTGTTGTAACTCTTGACTTTCAACGGGGGACGCACACTTCAGGAAATGTTTGGAAACAATAAAAGCACTTTAGGTGTTTGATTTCAAGTACACACAAATACAACAACAACAAAGTGAAATATAATTCCTAACTCCCCACTGTGTTACACCATGGAAAGTCAATGTGTTTTTATTTTAAACAAGGTTCAAGTGTTTGCATTTGTTTGTTCGTATGCCAGGGAGAAGGACGAAGACGACACTAGGGTATTGTAAAAAAATGTTACAATTGAAGCTACTAAATGCCAAACAGGTATTCACTGGGGAGTGATGACAAATTTTTAGGGTACCGTATAAATGGCTACTTGAAACCGAAGCTTGACCATGAAAATTCTGAAATTAACTGGAATAGTTCTGAAGGATGCAAAAGCAACTCAACCTTTGTGAGAATTTCTCAGGACAACTGTAGGTCTACGTCTCCAGATTTCCTAATGCAATTGCGTGTGTTCCAAAGGAAGCAATAAATACATCTGATTCTTATAGAAATCGTAGACCAGTGTCAAAAAGCGAAATTTGGTAAAAATGGCGCCCAACATATGAAAAAGGGAAGGAAACTGTTGCTCTTAGTTTCAAGGAAACCATGAAGACGTCAATGAACATGACCAGGATTATGAGGAGAAGATTACATACTTTGAAATTTACGAAGATTATTGAAGGAGTTCCAAATGAGGTCATGAAATGAGTCGGAAACCAAGGAATTTTATTAGGGTTCGCAGGAAATCTTGCTGTTTCTTTTGTAACATATAAAAATAAAAAAAAGAAAGAAAAATACCTTTTTAAAAACAATTCTATTTCAGAGGAACCCACATCTGGCTTCTATGAAAAATCTCAACTTTTATAAGAATTTCTCAGGACAACTGTAGGTCTACATCTGAAAAATTCCCAATGTCATTGCGTGTGTTCCAAAGGGAGTAATAAAGGCACCTGGTTCTTACAGAAATTGTAGGCCAGTGTCAAAAAGCGAAATTTGGCTAAAATGGTGCCTAATATATGAAAAAGGGAAGGAAAATGTTGGTTTTAAGGAGAAGATTAGATATTTTGAAACATGAAAAGGATGTCATAGGTAAATGAGTCAGGATCCAGTGTATTTTATAAAGGTTCGCATGTTGGTGTTTTTTCTCAGGACAACTATAGGTCTACACCTGAAAATTTGGTAGTTGTGGAGTTATCTGATTCTTATAGATAATGTAGGCCAAAAAGCGAAGTTTGATAAAAATGGCGCCCAACGCATTAGAAAATACGGAATGAAATTTTCAGATTCTTTTAATGATAAAAATATATACATTTTCAAAGGCCCATAGCTGACTCAGAATGTTAGGGCGGTTTTCGAAAAATCGATGTGGTGTTCAATAAAGCCGAGGAGCTTCCAACAAAGCAGCAGTGCTTTTCTAAGAAATCCTCTTTGTGGTTTGAAGTTCGTGCATTATCAAGAAGAAGCTTGTGCGTCTACAAGGCTTGTGTGGGAATTCAAGGAGCCTAAGAGACAGTACAGTACTCTATGTTTTTATTCATATGAGAAATTTTGCTTTTTTCCGATATGTTCCTGTAGAAGTCTGAAGTTCGTGCGTCTTCAAGTAGAACCAGTTCACAGTAAATATAAGTAATTTCCAAAAAATTCTTAGGACTTGTGGATAATTCAAAGAGGCTAAAAATCCGTAGAATTTTCTAAGGTTTTACTTCACTTGAGAGATCTTTTTTCGAGATGTTCCAGCGGAACTCCGTGAACTTCAAATAAACCTGTATCTAGTTGGCTTCTAAGAATCCTTGGAGTAAATTTTTTAGGACTTGTGGCTTTTTCCTACGGTAGTCTGGGAACTTCAACAGTCCCTGTGTCTAGGATGCTTCTGAAAACCCTTGGAGTAAAATTTCAGGATTTGTGGAGAATTCAAGAAGGCTAGGTACTTGTGGTACAAAATTTCTTCGGAAAAA